AAAAAAAAAAAAAAAAAAAAAAAAAAAAAAAAAAAAGATGTAGAATCAATACCTGGAAGTTTGGCCCTTTCTTAAATTAAAATATTTATTGTTCTGCCACTCTATTTGGTTACTGTGCAAAAATGGAGCTGCTGTACTGAATTCTCACCTTCAGGGCAGTCACATGTAACAACTATACGTTTGAGGTATTACTCTTACAAATCTATTTTAGGAGATTGTACTGACACTTGTCATTCTTTCCTTTTGAACTACTGTTGGATACTTAGACGTCTTTATTTTCGCAACCAAAATGTCTACGGGCCTCATTTAATTTCCAATTAATTACTGATTTATCCTTCCTTGAAAATGAACAGTAAACAAAAACACAAGTAAAATATCTGATAAAACAGGCACAAAATTAGATCCTCCTTATTAAATATGACTGAATCACTTTTATTTTCTATTGAAGAAAAAACAAATGTGTGTAATCAAAATAAAAAGAAAAATATCTTTACAGACACAGAAGTTGATCCCAAATCAGTGACAAAAATCAATCGGTACATATCACAAGGATAAATAATTACCATGGTACCTTAGTTAATAACCCTAATAAAACAAAGTAAGGGATTTTTCTCTTTAAGTCAAAATACTCACCATCCGAAGGTGGGCACAGTCCACAAAGAATATTCATCAATGTACTCTTTCCTGTTCCACTGTGGCCAAGTAACGCAGTAATCTGACCCTCATATATGTCAAAGGATAAACCTAGTTCAGGGAAAAAGGAGAAGTCTCAAATGTGATTTTTATTTCTGTTGAGCCATGTAAGATAATACACAATACTTGAGCAACCTTGAAAGAAGTCAATAAATTTAAAGACGGATTTAAAGTTACCAGCATATTTGATAACATAATATTTAATATTATAACACAATAATAATTCTTTGTTATAGTCAATGGTATGAACAATAAGAAAAATGATACAAAATAAGCTTTTTCTTTTTTTATTACACTAACTGATTTAGAGGGGGCACAAAACATGGCAGGGGGGATTTCTGTGTACCCCCTTTGGGGAACTTCCAAGGGAATTAAAACAAAAGGATAAACAAAAACTTGTTCCCAAGGGTATTTAGAGGCATGTTAAATCTACTGGCAAAAAACTAGAAATTAACCAATAGCTTGGAAAAGGCTAAGTGAATGCTTTAAAAGTTCAATTTAAACAGGAGCAAAGTAGAATGAATATCACCACATGGATGTGTCAGTGTTTGAAAGGAGACAGCAGAAAGGGGGCTGAAAACCCAGCTTCAAATAACTATAACCCCTGATCTGATGAAGGTGATCTCATGCTGATAGCATCCCAAGACCTGCAGGCCAGATGCAGCTTCAACTCCTGCCTGAGTGCCCAGCCTGCCAGCCTGCCCTACAGATTTCAGACTTGTCAAGCCCCACAGTCGTGTGAACCAATTCCTCAAAAATCATCTTCCCCCCTTCCCGCCCGCCCCTCCCCACAGTGCTCTCACTCTCTGTGTGTATGTGTGTATATATATTCTAACGATTCTGAAGAACCCTGACGGACACACTGCTAAACACGCCACAACTGTCAGGACAAGCTCCCCATGACAAAGAACTATCAGGCCCAAAACGTCAATAGTGCCAAGGCTAAGAAACCCTGTGTTAGGACAAAAGGAAAAAAAAAAAAAAAAAAAAAAAAAAAAAAAAAAAAAAAAAAAAAAAGGAACTAACATGTATACACATGCTAATAATAAAATGAAAAAGGACACAGATTTGTTCAAAGAGTTGACTATTTTTCATCTTGATAGATATTACTTTTTTCTTTTACTACTTTGATGCTAAGTTTTATTATGACCATTAATCACATAAATAAATGGAAGTATCCCTAAAGGAAAGAGAGAAAATTGTGGTAAAGAATTTAAATTTCCCACAAACTACGTACATTGTTTTTCCATTTGTACTTTAATGTTATGGACTGAACACTAGGAAAGCTACTTACTTCTCAAAGCCTCCACATTTTCACCTTTCTTTCTGTATGTCTTCTGAATACCACTGATTCTGAAAAACACCATTTTCTACTTTATAAGTATTTAAAGCAATCTATAAGTACGTGTTTCCATGTATAATATTTTTAATCAAAGCTGTCATATTTAATGGGAATAATAATAAAGTATCTTCCTACTGAAACAATAAACCAAGGAAATCTGACAATAATAATAAAAGTATTTTAAAGAAACTACAAGAGAAAAGTATAGTATTCCTCTCCATTTTAGGTGTTATTCATTCATTTTTCATGATAAGCCAACTTCTAAAAAGAAACTGAAACATTTGACTCAAGCAATTTATAGATTTCTTATTTCACATTTGATTCTTTTCTGTTTGTAATTAATCAATACCTGTTTATCAGTTAAGGGAGATTAAAAACCGAGTGCTATTTCACATCAGCACTTGTCTATAAATGTGAAGTGATTCTCTCCTTCCACTTTAAATGTTTTACATAATTTTTGAAGGAATGAATGGTCTAGTTCACCAGTTAAAATTTTACTCTTAAGAAGGCAGACCGCCAGCCCACTGACTGCATCTTAAATATCTAACTCTCCCTTGCTTTTATACATATTTCTTAAATTTAAAAAACACAAATTATACTCCACTTTTTCTTGCGCTTTTATTTCTTTTCTCGGTCTCATTATTTTTTTAATTTGGTTTTGACTGAACTAGCAAGGAACAGTAACGAATTTCTTTCATTCTCAGAAATTAAGTTGATGTGACAAGTTAATTACGTCACAATTTCTAAGGGTCTATGAAATCAACAGAGCACAATTTAGTGTGGTGTATATCTCAGACAATGTAGCCTGAATAAAAATAGAAAGTTAATGTTCATTCTGTTTTAATCTACAAAGTGAGGAAACTTTAAAATAGCTTAATTTTATAAATACTAGGTTTTATTACGTTTAAAAATTTCTATTCAAACATAAAATTTCAAACCTAGCAGCAACCTTATTCTAAATGGCCGCAAAGAAAATAAAAACTTAAAAGAGAATTAGCCCTTAATACTGGTTTTTAAAAAAGCATGAAATGTGCACCAAATCTCCAAAGATACCATACTTACATGCATTATTTAAAAGATAGGATTTAAATGTGGCATGTTCCATGAGCAGTTCTTAGACCTAAACTGCCAAAGATTAAATCATACCTTATGGCTTCTTTTCCTATAAATTCTGAAGAAACAGGCTCAACAATTTCACTAAAACTAATATTCCCACTAACATTGCCCTCTGATAACTCCTTATAATTTCTTCTGCTCTTTGACCAATATGATGGCTTCAAAAAATAAAACGATGATCTCCGTAAACCAAATTCTCCTGAAAAAACAAACAAACTGAGTTATCCTAACAAATCATTTCTGAAAACTAGTTATTAAATCATAAACGCAGTCTGTGAAACCTAAGACAATCTAGATCTAAAGTTTAGACATAAAATACTAAATCGATAGTGTGTGAAAAATAGAAGTTTTACTGACAAATAACTCTTGTCCATAAATAGTTTCAGAGTTGCTGAGAGTCTAGGGAACGTAAATGTAAGCAAAGTACATTTTCTGCCCTCCAGAAACTTAACATCGTTATGACTACAGGTACATACTAAACGGCTAAAACACAACGTACAGCATGAGGCATATGCCACGCACAGTGCTAATTAAGAGTTCAGAAGAGGAAAAGTTTACATCTGGATAGTCTGAAGGCTTGAATGAGTATCACCTTAGTCTTTGAAAACAGACAGTATTCAGAAAAGTTGATATTGTTCATCAAGAGGACTTTTTAGAACGAGGAGAATAACACAGCCACCAGGACCGACACAGGAGACTGAGCTCTGACTGCCCACACAGCGTGTACGTATTTTCTCCCTGTCTCCCCAAGGCACCGACCCTCCCCGTCCTTTCTAACAGCCACTCCTCCTCTAGACGAGCGCATCTTTCAAAGGGCTCTGATCCCAACTCCAGAGAGATGCCAGTGGGCCTAATGAGCCCCTGGCAGGCTCCGGTGGCTGCTACCACCGCAGCCACAAGCAGGTGCCAACCAGACAGGAGCGAGGGGTTTACTGGGGGAAAGGCAACCTCTCCCCCTCCCCCTCCCTCTGGACGGGAGGGAGCAAAGCGGCACAACCCGGTGCAGCCAGGAGGAGAGCAAACCTGCCAGACTGAGACCAAGAGGCAAGAACACGGAGAAAGGGGGTCCCTGGCGGCACGGCTGAGCAAGTCCAACGGACCTGGGGTCCGTCCTATCTTTGGACTTTAAATAAAACGCTTGATTTCCTTCTTGTTTTTTTTTGTTTTGTTTTTTTTTTTTGTTTTGCGGTGCGCGGGCCTCTCACCGTTGCGGCCTCTCCCATTTGCGGAGCACGGGCTCCGGACGCGCAGGCTCAGCGGCCGTGGCTCACGGGCCCAGCCGCTCCGCGGCACGTGGGATCCTCCCGGACCGGGGCACGAGCCCGCGTCCCCCGCATCGGCAGGCGGACTCCCAACCACCGCGCCACCGGGGAAGCCCTCCTTCTTGTTTAAGACAACTAAAGAGGTTCTCTGTTATGGGTAGCTAAAAACAATGTAACGGATACACTGCAGATGTGTTTAAATAGATAAACAGGACCGTGTGGATGGATGTAAAATACAATACAGAGGGGGACAGTGGCTAAGAAGTGACTAAATACATAAAAGCAGTGTGGAGGAAATTAACATATAACAAGTTTCTACTTGATTCACCAGGCAGTGCCCACCCAGCAAGGTGTCTGAGCCAGGTGATTAGCTTGATTAGAGGGAATGGTGAGGTTCTTAGACAGACGTGAGGTAGGCAGTTAGATGGAAGCTGCCCCAGCGGTCTAGACTAGCAGAGCCCACCTGCAACTACAGAAACGTCCTCATCTGTGCTCTGCAGTGTGGTGACTAACAGCCAGGCGCGGCTACCGAGCAGTTGGCATGTGGCCTGTGCTACTGAGAAGGAACTGTTAGTTTATTTGGTTCTAAGTAACTCAAGTTTTAAAAGCCACACATGTCTTTCCATATAAGACTGCAGGTCTGGCACACAGACAAAATGAATGAGGAACTCAGGGGGAAAAGGAAAGGGGGTGTTGGATATTTAGTGCTATTCTGAATCCGCACAAGTTTGCTATCGGTGCAGGATGAGGGATGTGGGGAATGGGAGGGGTCACCAGGTTGCTCGTGGTGTCCGAGCTTATCGGGTGAAATAACAAAACACTGTAGCCAAAACGATGGACGTGGGGAAGGACTGAGTTAAGGAGTTCAATTAGGGACTGAAGGCTTTCAAAACAAACTGATCTCTTTTCACCCACAATCTCCTTACATTCACTAGCAGTTAATGCATAATGTACTTATTTAAAATTAAATTAAAAGCTGTAACAGTGAATACGGCTTAGTTAGAAGAAAATTTTTTTGATTAAGTTAACCTTATGTGGGCAAAGAAACCTAAATATCTTTACCGTAAAATCCAATAACTACCTGCATACCTGGAATGACTTGATCAAGATAGACAGCCAGAAGGACATAGAATATGCTGTTAAGGGCCAGCATGATAATAGTAATAATTAGAGGATATGGCCCTTCAGTCAAATTAGAAAATAAAGCACCTTCATTAAAATCTTCTAAATGCATGACCTGAAAAACAGAAACACCAACTTTATTATATAAAAATGATAAAATATTTTATCATTTTGTAAAATAGCTACCACTATTTAGAGTTTCTCATAGTATCCAGAGTCAGTAAACTGGGCCTTTTAACAGATTAAACAGTCTACCAAATTGGTAACATGAATTTATAAAGAAAACAATAAACTTGACCAAACCGTGAGTTCCTTACAGCAACCCCTTTCAACCATGTTTTCAATGCTGTGCTTCTAAAACCAGTATACATCTATTCTTGGGGCATGTGCAATAATTCTAATGCTATGATTATCAAATGAAATAAAAACTAATGCAAACAAAAGGGTTATGGTCCACAGAGAAGTCAGACAAATTACGTATTAGAGGATAAACTTATGGTCAGCACCTTTCAACACTGAAAAGAGAGAAGGTACTATAATTAATTAACCCAGCTATTAAATTATTCATAGTAGATATAGGTGATAGAGCAGAAGGAAAGCAATAGAGACTGAGGCCTCGTTTAGGTCTCAGCCCTGCCATTAAGTAAATAAACTTTAATTATGCTGTTCTGGATTTCAGTCTCCTCATCTGTGAAATGAAGGTGAATTAAATGACATTCAGAGTCCCTCCCACTTAACAAAAACCTATGAATCTATAATTCTCCCTTCCTAAGGGGACTCAGTGGACTCTCAAGACATGTAATAACAGCTCTTAGGTCTCAAATAATTAAAATTCGTTTAACTCAATATTCATAAACAAGCAAAGTCTCACAAATCAGAAGTCTATCCAGCCAACATGAATAATCTCTTGTATTAAGTAATTACATTTTTTCTTTACACATTAACCAAATTTGTGTTCTAATACATAAAACAGTTTCTCATAAGCATTTTCCCCTTAGAACCTGAGTGCCCCGTAAAGACAAATAAAAATCAAATTTATAAATCTAAATACTACTTAGGTAAAGATAATCTCATGAATGCTGGACCTATAAAATCCACAAGGTACTACTTTCACTACTACAGTCAAGAAAAATTTGTTCTGCTTCACACACAATTTTCTCCCAGGTGCACATGTGAGATAAATTTACAACAGGGAGCAATAAATCCAGGCCACAGAGCAGTCTAGATTGCCTGACGCATAAACCCGTGACTTCTAACCAACTGAGTTACTGCAGTGAAAACAGATTATTGAGATACACTAAAGTGAAAAGTGGAGAACTTATTTATAAACAGGTCATATAAATAAAAAACTTTAAAAATGGAGAAAATATAAATGAAATTTCCAATAGAAAATGTACTCCAATATTCAAATATCATTCCTTTTTCATGTTGAAAATTTTAAATATTTTTTTTTGCAAACTAAGGGCAGTATGCATGGTAGTATAATATGCTGCATGGAAGTGGAGAGAAAAGAAAATATTTAGTGAAAGCAAGATATGTACATTACCTACCTGTGCAATACCAATCAAAAAAGTACACTGACAGAAGGGACTTAGAAGCCACACTAAAGATTTGGGAAAACTTTCCACGAGGACTATCAAAAGGCCAACAAATCCAAAAGCCACAGTGACTAAAAATTCAACTATTCCCACATGTTTTGATTTTTTAAAAAGAGGCGTCAGCATTAAAGCAAAAAATACCTGTAAGATATAAATATTAAGGTTAAAGCATTGTTCATATACACTGGTATGAAAACAAAATTAAATTTTCCTTGTGAAAGAACAAGTTATCTTCATTAGAAAATACATTCATTAAAATACAATTAATTTCTAAAGGCCATGGTGAGATATTTAATTTTCATACAAATAGTGCTCTACATGAAAAATTTAAACCGACAAATACTAAAAACTGCAGTTTATCTATGTCATAGGCAAACGTGATCACCTCAGCACTGTAGAAACCATAAACCACCGTGTGTTTCTGCACTTAGATACGGACAAATATGAACAAAACAGTATGTCAACAAGCTTTTACACAGAGCCCATTTTTCAACTTCACGTGTTGACAAGAAACAGAGCCAGTTAAACACCAGGCAATCATACAGAGGAGCATATCAGTTATTTGTAAATTATCATATTAAAGAGCAGGAAT